AAAAAAAAAAAAAAAAAAGTACAAAAAGACATCACGGCTCAAATAGCCCATCATTACTATGTTTCTGATCTCATTTCTTATTCTATCATCCTGTCCATCAGTATGTTATCTAATGTATGGCTGTACATGTATTCACAAAGGTTTTATTTTATTCAATTAAGGAAAAAATCTTGCTGGGCAAGGGTGGCTCACATTTGTAATCTCTGATTTAGGAGGCTGAGGTGGGAGGATTGCCTGAGGCCAGGAGGTCAAGACCAGTCTGGGCAACACAGTGAGACCCCACCTCTAAAAATAACAAAATCAATAAAAATTTCTCTATACTTTCAAATTTCAGTTTTTAAAAATGTGCATATTTCTGAGTTAAACGTAGAAATGTCCACTGTGCTACTTATGGCAGGTCTGTGGTATGTCTGTCATAGAAACTAAAAAGTCCATGCCTATCTCCTGGGTACCATAACAACCATTTGCTTTGGTTTTGTGGCAGTTTCTGGGCATTCAGTACTGTGGTCACAATGTCACTGAGCACTTTCATCTTTGAAAAAAGGAACATCAAGGAGCCTCAATAGTTTTAAACTGCTGTTCTTGCCTGAAAGTTTTATTTTTTTGAGATGGAGTTTAACTGTGTTGCCCAGGCTGGAGTGAAGTGGCATGATCATAGCTCACTGTAATCTCAAACTCTTGGCTCCATCATCCCACCTCAGCCTCTTGAGAAGCTAGGACTACAAGTGGACATCACCATACTGGCTAATTTTATTTATTTAGAGATAGTATCACTCTGTTGTCCAGGCTGGAGTGCAGTGGCGAGATCTCAGCTCACTCCTACCTTTGCCTCCAGAGTTCAAGTGATTATCCTGCCTCAGCCTCCCAAGTAGCTGGGATTATAGGAGCCCGTGCCACCATGCCTGGCTAATTTTTGTATTTTAAGTAGAAACAGGGTTTCGTCATATTGGTCAGGCTGGTCTTGAACTCCTGGCTTCAAGTGATCTGCCCACCTTGCCCTCCCAAAGTGCTGGGATTACAGGTGTGAGCCATCATGGCTGGACCATGCTGGCTAATTTAAAAAAAATTTTTGTAGAGACAGAGTCTTGCTATGTTGACCAGATTGGTCTTGAATACCTGGCCTCAAGGGATCCTCCTGCCTCTGCCTCTGCCTCCCAGAGTGCTGGGATTAGAGGTGTGAGCCACCGTCCATCTGGCCTACATTTTTTTTTTTTTTTTTAAACAGTCTTGCTTTGTCACCAGGCTGAAGTGCAGTGGCACGATCTTGGCTCACTGCAAACTCTGCCCCCCAGGTTCAAGCAATTCCCCTGCCTCAGCCTCCTGAGAGCTGGGACTACAAGCACGCACCACCAAGCCCAGCTAATTTTTTATATTTTAGTCTAAGGGGTTTCACCATGTTGGCCAGGATGGTCTCGCTCTCCTGACCTCGTGTTCCGCCCGCCTCAGCTTCCCAAAGTACTGGGATTACAGGTGTGAGACACTGCACCCGGCCTTTATTGCAATTTTTATAGTGTGTACACTACACAATGCACACTATACCCTTAAATTCCAAATAAAGAACTAAATAGCATTAGATACCTATTTGTATGATGTCCTTGTTATCTGAACCCCAGCTACTAGCTGTCCTCAACTCAGGGCTAAGTATATTCAGACAATGTGTAATCTCTTGCTATCTAAACTGTTACTACTAGAAAATGGGAACTGAACAGATTTGGAGAGCAAGAGATACTTACACTTATGAAACCTACTCCATAGCAAACAAACAGAAAACAACCCTCCCCTTAAACTGAATAAAAAGGGGATTCTGTTTTTTGACACAGGGTCTTGCTCTATCAGGCTGGACTGCAATGGTGCAATCACAGCTCACTGCAGGCTTGATTTCCCAGGCTCAAGTGATTCTTCCACCTTAGCCTCCTCAGTAGCTGGGACTACAGGCATGTGCCACCATGCCCAGCTAATTTTTAAGATTTTGTTTTTAGAGACAGGGTCTTTCCTATGTTGGCCTGGCTGGTCTTGAGCTCCTGGATTCAAGTGATCCTCTTGCTTTGGTCCCCCAAAGTGCTGGGATTATAGGTGTGAGTCACTACGCCGAGCATGTGCTTTTTAATATAAATGTTAAAAAATGGGAATAATTGTAACAGTGTCATCATTTATTTATTGAGTATCTCTGATGTGCTAGGCATTCCTTCAAGCATTTCCAAGTTAATAACTCAATCACTCCTCACAACAACTGTAAGTTGTTTTTATTTCTATCTTACAGACATGGAAACTGAGGCATAGAGAGTTTAGATATAACTTTATTAAGTCAAACAGTAAGAAGAAAATGGCCTCAAAAATATACATACTTCATCAGTATATTATACTGCAAGTATATAGATATGCTTTTTATTTGAAAGAAGGATCAATTAAACATTTTAAGGAACTGGAGGACATTAAGTAAAATAACCCAGAAACAGAAAATTAAACACTGTAGGTTCTCACTCATATGTGGAAACTAAAAAAAAAGTTGATCTCAGAGAAGTAAAAAGTAGAACAAAGGATACTAGAAGCTGGGAAGGGTAGGAGAGGGTGAGATTTATTACAAAATTACAGCTAACTAGGAAGAGTAAGTTCCAGTGTTCTATACCACTGTAGGATGACTAGAGTTAACAATACTATGTAGTTTTGGCCGGGGGGTGGTGGCTTACGCCTGTAATCCCCGTACTTTGGAAGGCTGAGGAGTGTGGATCAAAAAGTCAGGAATTCGAGACCAGCCTGACCAATATGGTGAAACCCTGTCTCTACTAAAAATACAAAAATTAGCCAGATGTGGCGGCGTGCACCTGTAATCCCAGCTACTTGGGAGGTTGAGAAAGGAGAATTGCTTGAACTCGGGAGGCAGAGGTTGCAGTGAGCTGAGATCGTGCCATTTCACTCCAGCCTGGGAGACACAGTGAGACTGTCTCAAAAAAACAAAAACAAAAACAAACCCAAACAAACAATACTATCTGGTTTCAAGTAGCTAGAAAGAGGATACTAAATGTTCCTGCACGAAGAAATGATAACTGTTTGAGGCGATGGATATAGTAATTACCCTGATCTGATCACTTTGCATTATATGTACTGAAACATTACTAGGTAACCCGTGTATATGTACAATTATTATTTGTCAAAAAAAAAAAATAAGATTTATAGTTCTTAAATCTTAATTTAATTCTTAAATTATAAGCTTAAATCTATACAATTGAAAGGATTATAATTATCTGTACAACCCTCTGAGAAAAAATATACTCACCATTCAGCTTGTTTTCTTTGCTCTGCCAGCTCATGGAGCCGCCGAAGGGCTTTTTCCTGTTTTTTCTCATCCTTGCGGGATCTTGAAGAGACATTTCGAGCAAACTCTCTCTGCTTGAGATCTTTTAATCTCTGGGTTAAAAGAAAGAAAGATACAGAGGGTGGATGATTTAGAGTAACTTAGGAATCTGAAAGCAAAGCCTTAGGACATGACCCTCAACCAATAGTTACAGTATTAGTGTAGAATACATTATCATATTCTCTTATGGCAATTGAAAACACAATGGCTGATTACTTTGGGTATAGCACTTGCAGTATCTGCATTTCTAATTAGGACAACGTAGCATTTGCTTTATTAGGCAAAATAAAATGATCTCAAATGCAACAAGCAAATTTTAGAACACTGGGAGGAAAGAAAAGGGACTATTTAATCACCTGCTCCTCCAGGATGCAAAACTAGACAAACAGAACATGAGATAAATTGCAATACCACAAGCCAAAGAGAACAGAAAGGGGTTAGGCTAGTACAGAAAATTACCCAGGTGTAAGATCTTGAAAAGCAATGTACAGCTTACATGGGGGGTTATTAAAATTAGAACAAATAGAAAGTATACTTTTATTTCACCATAAAAAGGTGTTGTTATTTTTTTTTCAGCATGAATAGAGGCTTCCTGTAACTACTGAATAAACCCGAGAGGTCTTCCAGTGCTAGCATGTTTAGAGCTCACCAGTCTGACCACTTTTATCTGGTCAGCCTGCTGAAAGTAGTATGTGATCCTTCATGGCCCTGAGAGGAATATCCAGGGGATGAGGAGGGAGAGCAGAGGTAAGTCAAAGATTTTATTACTTAAAATCCAGATAACAGAATGGGTCTTTTATTTTCAGAAGCTACTGTATAATTTTCTTTAAAACAAAACAAACTACAACCAAAAAAGAACAGTGTTATGACACACTGGTGACAGAACCCAGACATATCTATCTGCAATGAAGACACAACTAAAATTATTTTCAAGACATTAGATAACACAAGAAACAAACAAAACAAAACATATACATTAGCCTATGCTTTTACAACAGCATTGGGAAAAGGAATTTGACCCAGTATAAAGTGGACATTGCTTTGTGGAAAGGCATGATGTTTAACAGACAGAGGAATTTTCTTACCTAATATTTATGAAATGTGTTTTGAATCTTTTTAAATTGGAAGAGGGGAAGGGTAGAAAGACACACACAATAAAAGATATACAGCTAAAGACACTAGTAGAAAAACTCACTCTTGTGATCTGGGCTCCCAAATTAGAAGGATTTGCTTTCAATACATCAGCTGAAAATGTCACATCACAAAGAAAAAAAAGTAAAAAATAAAACAAGAGTGGAAGAGAAAAAAAAAAATAAAGCAAGCATTACTACACAAGCTCTCTTAGTGAATCTGTAAACTATTATACTGAACAATCAGGGACAAAGCCATCAACTCTAAAAGGGCTGGGGAGAAGGGAAGCACCTGTACAACATATATATGTGTACATACACACAGACTGACATAGTAAGCCCACCTAGAAAAATGAAACTACCTGTACTTCTTCCAGAAAAATGGTTCCAGAACTTTGGAAAAGACCATTGTGGCATAAAAAGCAGTCTTGTTTCTATTAGCCCTTATTTTGGGGAAGTTGAAGCAATGAACAGCTGACAAAACTATTAGTGCCCATCATTAAGATTTTTTTTTTTTTTTTTGAGACACAGTCTCTCTCTGTCGCCCAGGCTGGAGTGCAGTGGCATGATCCTGGCTCACTGCAGCCTCCACCTCCCAGGTTCAAGCAATTCTCATGCCTCAGCCTCCCAAGTAGCTGGGATTACGGGCGTGCACCCTCATGCCTGGCTCATTTTTTATATTTTTAGTAGAGATGGAGTTTCATCATGGTGGCCAGGGTGGTCTCAAACTCCTGGCCTCAAGTGCTCTACCCGCCTTGGCCTCCCAAGGTGCTGGGATTAAAGGCATGAGCCACCATGCCTAGCCCACAACTAAGATTTTTATAATACCACTTCAAGATAAAGGATCAACTATTTTAAATAAATATGAATTCCAATTTCCTCTTCCTGAGGTGAATGGGGCAGAAATAGAAGGCTTATCAGGCCTATTATATGATTACCTTTGGCCACAAACCTAGTTTTTTCCTTCCCCAAACATGTAACAGGCTCTCTAGCCAAGATTTAGATAGAATGTATCTTCTTCTCATATTTGCCATTTCTCCCTCTCTCCTCTCAGCTCAATGCAACCTCTGCCTCCTGGGTCCAAGCGATTCTTCTGTCTCAGCCTCCTGAGTAGCTGAGACTACAGGTCCTCGTCACCATGTCTGGCTGATTTTCTGTATTTTTAGTAGAGATAGGGTTTCATCTTGTTGGCCAGGGTAGTCTTGAATTCCTGACCTCAAGTGATCCACCCACCTTGGCTTCCCAAAGTGCTGGGATTACAGGCATGAGCCACTGTGCCCGGCCTGCCATCTTCTCTCTAGCTACCTGCTAAGACTGGAAAATCTCCCTATGCCATTTCTCCCCCTCTTACAAATATTTCATTACTTTTAGGAAGCATTTTTCAAACTACATGACATTGTCCAAAAGAACAATCATTTTGTCAAAGTATGGAGTCTCCAGGCTGAGTTGAGACTAAGCTTTCCATTCAGCAGCCACTCTGTACAGCCTTGAAGTTGAAGGAATAGAACCATGTCCACATCATGCTGAAGACATCCTATCGCAAATTCCCACCACAAGAATATGGTTGGAGGTAGAGAGGGAAGAAAATGGGATGATGTAATAAAAGAATCTAAATTGCAGGCTCCCTCTGGGCATATCTATCCTAATTAATACCCCCATATGGCTTAGAAAGGCTCCCAACATCACATTTTCACACTACAAACTTTATAGTTAAGTCTGCAGTCCCAAAAGCAGAATTGAGAACCCCAGAATTCTAACCCCAACCTTAAGAGGCAGGACTCAGCAAACCCTCTCAAACTCAGTATGTATACTTGAGGTTTCTCTCAGATGAGGACATTCTGGTGACTTTTTTTTTTTTTTTTTTTTTTTTTTGAGACGGAATTACACTCATGTTACCCAGGCTGGAGTGCAATGGCGCGATCTTGGCTCACCACAACCTCCGCCTCCTGGGTTCAGGCAATTCTCCTGCCTCAGCCTCCTGCGTAGCTGGGATTACAGGCATGCACCACCATGCCCAGCTAATGTTTTGTATTTTCAGTAGAGACGGGGTTTCACCATGTTGACCAGGATGGTCTCGATCTCTTGACCTCGTGATCCACCCGCCTCGGCCTCCCAAAGTGCTGGGATTACAGGCTTGAGCCACCACGCCCGGCCCATTCTGGTGACTTTTAAGAGAAAAAGTCTCACTTTGTTGCCCAGGCTGAAGTGCTGGGGCTATTCACATGTGTGATTCCACTACTGATCGGCATGGGAGTTTTGACCTGCTCTGTTTCTGACCTGCACCAGTTCATCTCTCCTTAGGAATCTTGGGTTGGTCCCCTGCTCCTGGGAGTTTGATGTCCACTTAGTGCAGACACCCAGTCAGCATAGCGCACTGTAGCCCAGAACTCCTGGGCTCAAGTGATCCCCTAGTCTCAGCCTCCCTATAAGTCAGGACTACAGGAATGCACCACCAGACCTAGCCAAGACGTGGGTTATAAGGTTCATATTTTCGTTTACCTAGAATGAATGCCTAACTCCAAGTGTCTCCTGCCTACTCAAGGTCAAACTAAATTCTCACACAGTCTCTACTGATCCTTCAAAAGAGGGAACTGTTCTTTCTGAACTGTCCTTAGTGGTGCTTTGTCATATCACTCACCTAGCAGCTATCGTATTTTGTTCTCTGATCAGTTATTCTTGTCTTTTAAAAAGGCAGTATGTGAGAGCTTCAGAGTCAGGAAGCCTGGGTTCAAATCCATTAATTACTAGCCAATCCACTTACTACTAGGTGATTTCACCTGAGTTCCAGTTCCCTCATTAAAAAATAGAGCTATCCACCTACAGATTTACAAGATTAAATGTCAGAATAAATGTAAAGCATTAAATAAGTCACAACTGTTCAATACTGCCTTTCCTCTGTGTGGGGCAGGGACTACAGCTTATCTTTATAATCAACCCTGCAGTGCATGAAACAGTACTAAGTCTAGAGAGGGCATATGATAAATGTCCAGTGAATAATTCAGTTCAAACATTAGATCCTTCATTTTCCCCCAAATAAATTTTTCTACCATTTATTTGTAGGAAGGGTTGATATAAAGTATTCTTATATTTTTATTAGGGACATATTAAGGTTATATAGTACGGTCCACCTAGCTACCGCTGCGGGTATCCCTTATTTTTAAACAGAATTAGGCTAAATGACAAAAGATACTGGCCAGAAACTTCTCAGCTTCTTACCTAAAAAGTTAATTTTTAAAGGCAAAGGGCCTTAATCAGAGTAAAGTTTTCCAAAATTGCCTATTTTATTCCAAAAGGCTACCAAGGTCTGGCTCATTTGCCACGGAATGCCCATGTGAAATTCTGTGAATTATATCTGTACTTTTCTCTTAAATTCTAGAGGAACACAACTTTAGATAATTTCTTCAGGTGAGACTACAGCAACATGCCTGCCTATCAGAGTAAAGACAGTTCAGAAAAAGATCAAAAATTGCAGATACGTCATCAATCTTGTCAAAGTCTGAGCAAATTTTCTATCATACACAAAAATTCAAGTTAGATTCCAAATTGGGACATTCTCATGTGAATGGATTTAATTATCCATTTAAGCTGACTCAAAAGCTATGAGACTATATCCTTATATCTGAAAATTATACAATATGCTTTCTGAAGAGCTGCTAATAAATTAGCTTATTTTACTGAACTACTAATGCCTAGTAACAAAAACTTAAGCCACATAACACATTTTTAGTTGGGAAATATCTTGATTCAAGAAAAGGAGACTGAACCCCACTGAAAATAAAAAGATATGAAGATCCTGTTTTCCTGAAAAATCAATAGCATTTTCCCAAAACCACATACATTTGTAGCACAGTACAGAATGGAAGAAACGTTTCCCACAGATCCTTAATCACATGGTGGCTGGGATTTCCATTAAACTTTCCAGAAGACCAGAAGAAAGGCAATACCTTAACAAATGATGCAGTACTTGAAGTACCCATCCACATTAAATGCTGAAAGATTAAGCCAAAGAAATGAGAATCAGGTAAATCTGAATGTAGATTATAAATGTGCAGAAAAGGTTCACCCCAGCAGCCACCCACTTATCTTTAAATGTAGACTTCAAGAGCAGAAACGTTCTGCCTCACAGTGTCTATTAAAACAAGCCAACTATGGCAATCAGGCTTTGTAGAACATCCGTAAAGTGGCTGTCAAGAAATATGGCTTCTTTACATAGTGAAGAGCAATAGTGTTCCTGCTCAACACTGACTGAGTTTAATAAGACAGATATTTCTGTAAAGTGTTCCCCAACCACAAAATACAAAGGTTTAATAAAATATTTTCTGTATCTTTTAGTGCTATGCTTCTTTCTTCTATCAAAATAAAATTTGACACTAGGAGTTTATATTTGATGGAGTATACTAAGAATAATTCTGACTACTATCTTTCTCAAGTATTTCAAATTTATTATCTAAATTTAAAGAATAAAACCTGTTTTTATCATGTGAAAGGAATTTCAGGCATCAGAAAACAGGCAGAATTTAAGGCAGAGTATTTCCTATTGCCACTAAAGACCCATGGTTCTACATTTACTCAGCTCTGAAGAAACTTGATTTTGTCTCTTTAGGGTCAAAAAATTATTCATGGTTTCTTTCTCTCACCGGATAGCAACTCCGCTCTCCTAACAGGGACTGAAGCTTAGTCTTCCTTTGTAACTATGCAATGCAAACATAGTTGTCTATGGCACAAAAGATGCTCAGTCAGTATTTATCAAACTGGGTTGTGGCTCACACCTGTACTCCCAACATTTTGGGAGGTTGAGGTAGAAGGACTGCTTGAGGACAGGAGTTCAAGACCAGTCTGGGCAACATAGTAAGACTGTCTCCCAAAAAAATTTTTTTTTAATTATCTGGGCACAGTGGTGTGTGCTTTGTAGTTCCAGCTATATGGGAGGCTGAGGTAGGAGGACTGCTTAAGTCCAGGAGTAAAAGGGCACAGTGAGCTATGATTATGCCACTAAACTCCAGCCTGGGTGACAGAGCAAGAACCTGTCCTTTTTTTTTTTTTGAGACAGTCTCCCCGTCACCCAGGCTGAAGTACAATGGCGCAATTTTGGCTCACTACAACCTCTGTCTCCTG